TTTGTGCGAGTGATACAAATCCAAAAAGGGAAATTAGCCAATCGGAGAATGTAAAATGTGATGATCCCGGATCAGCCAGACACGTAGCAAAGCGAAGAAAAACACAAAAAACCCCCGAAAAAGAGAAACTAGTGTTTAAATCGACCTTGTTGGACTAATAAAAAATAACGGGAACGAAATTTTACATATAAAAAAAACTCATATTATCACTAAAGCTCACACCCTAACACTAACCCTAGCGCTAACCCTAACGTCCTAATCCCTTAGTTTATTTACAAATGCGATTTCCTTTTTTGGGTTTGTACCACTCGCAAAAATAAGTATTTCGAGTTAGCCGGATATAATATAACCAATTTATATTCGGAAATAAACCCGGTTCCAAACCTCTATATAGAACAATAATTTCTAAAGACAATTACGAAACTTAATGGTTAGCAAAAACCCATGTTTTTTTTTCCCCAACCCGCTTAAAATTATAAGGTGGGCGTCACCTAGAAGTAGTGCAATACTAGGGACACCCTGATAAGAAGTGTAGCAAGCCATTGACTTCTTATCCGAAGATAAAAATTAGTTTAATATCGAAGACCCACTGTGTGGATCGTTTCAGATATTAAGCTGAAAAGAACAGATACTACACTTGATCTTAGCCAAAAGGCTTGAGAGGATGAGGTTCTTTGTTTGCGTTTGATTTTTAAATTTATATTTTCCAAAATTTTTTCAAAATTGTGGGATTGTTGTTGAAATGTAGACATTAAAATTATGTTGGTCATTACGAAAATGACCACGTGATCAATTCTACGTTTTTCGCTATATTACCATATTTTGATATTGCATTAAAGTTCACGGACAAAAATGTTCACCAATCTCGTGAACAAAAATTTGTTGTACTCATATAGAGATTTTTGTTACATGTATTAGTATCGTGTAACGTTGCACGAATTGTTGAACTTTCTAGATGGACTTTTAACAAAGAAATCCTGCGGTCATGTGGAAGTTTAACACCGCAGCGTTTCGAAAATTGGAACGAATTTTCAAATTTTGGAAATATAAAAAAAAAAACTTAAAAACAATTTTCTGAATATGGACACATTAACTTATTTATTTTATCATTATGCATGAAAGACAAATTACATCGTTTACTATATTTAGTTAATATATCCATAAATGTGAAAGCTACATTGTATCTTGGCTCGACTAGTCATCTTAGGTCTCCCGCTAATATCGATTGTTATCGGTTACCAAAATCTTCAAAGTATCCTTAATACTTATTAATAGTCATGACTTTAGCCTGATATATGTTCATATGTGTACGTACGCACATTTTAAGGTTTCTCCCTATTTGGTTTGCTATTTAATATGGGTGTTGCCGTTACCTATTCATATTCTGTTTTCTATTATTAGTATAACAACGTTAATTTTCCATGCATATACGATCCAGATCATTCACATTCCAACTTAGAAACGTTACACTATTGTTTTCCCGGATCAAACAATCAAAGATTTTGCCTTAATACATATACAATATATAAGGAGGACATAATGTTTGAATTATGTTCTTTTTGATAATCGAGCTATTTAATTAATTTATTTTTTTATTTAAGTTTTGATTTTGGTTTAAGGTCAAATACTATTGCGTATTGCTTTTCGTTATGGCAGAATCTATATTAACAGCTAGGACTTGTCCTAACATGGTTAAAGACTATGATCCTAACGATCTAAAATTCATAGATGACAATGAAGTCCCTTTGCACATTGTGGGATGGCTTGTTAGTGCAATTTTTACATTTCAGGCTTCTATCATTACTTTATACTTAATAAAGCAGCATTGGAAATATTATTATGAGGTATATAGGTTTTTACTACTTTAGATCTTTGGATTTCACCTTATTCAAAATTTATCTTTTTATTTACAGCCAAGTCAACAAAGATATATAGTCCGACTACTTTTAATAGTTCCTATATATACAATCTTCAATTGGTTATCATATTTTTTCTTTCATGGTTCTGTATATATTGATACGTTCCGAGATGCTTATCAAGCCTATGCCATAACTAGCTTTTTTAATCTTCTTCTTCAATGTTTGGGAGAAAATGATGAAACTCGCATGCGAAAATTAAGTAATATAAAGTCCACCAGGTCACCAGCTCCATTTTGTTGTATATATTTTAATCCAAGCGAGCATAAAACACTTCTCAAACGATTAAGGATTGGTATATTGCAATATGTACTTATATTATATGCCACCACCTTTATTGCGTTGATATTACAAGCCACAGGATTTTATTGCCAAGAATCATATTCTATATATTTCCCTCAAATTTATTTAATAACTGTGCAAACAATTTCAGGATTTATCGCAAATATATGTATGGTATGTTGTCGTAATTTTATTATCTGTCATTAGCATAATGCCAAATCAACTTACATCTATTTTTTTTTAGAATATGTTGTTCACACCTGTTCAAGAGATTCTTGCTAATGACTACCCTTGGTTCCTAAGAAATATATGTGTAAACACGGTATGATAAACTAATATGATTTAAGATTTCGGATTTCGTATAGCGCATTAAATAATCGGTATCGGTATTCTTCTATAGGCTCTCTTCTTAGTTACTTACCAAGGTCATGCTCTTGGATTCCTTGTATTCTTAGGATACATTCAAGACACAAAATATTGGTAAGAGTCGCCTTTAACTTCCAGATATTAATAATCAAATTATTCTACAAATACTCATATAATAATTACAATTCATTTATAGGACTGCACACAACATTTCAACGGGAATACAAGCAATCTTGGTTTCTATTGAACTTGCTATAATCTCATTAATCCAAATGAAAGCATTTCGTTACAAAGATTACCGTCCGGATCCTCGTAAATCAACACCAATTTTAGAATCCATGAAAGATTCATTGATTCCTGTTGATTTATATCACGACTATATTTATGCAATTCGATATATTTATAATCGAGCGTTGAAAAGACCGACAACATCAGATATTTGGCCTAACGATAGACCAACTGTTGAACCAACACCTCCAAAACCGACTTTCATGGATCGATTGACGAATCTATTTAGGTCACAAGAAAGTGCACCTATACAACCACAGAGACCGCCAACTCCAGTTTATAAGATTAAAATTGCGAATATGGAATTATTCTCGTGGAAGAAAAAAACAAGTAATAAAGCTAACGATAATGTATAAATATTATCTTTTTTTTGAATTTATAAGACAAATTAATTAGTTAATTATAAATTCGTACCTTGTATTATATCAATATAGAAATTTTTATATTTTACTGTTTATTTTAATACACACTGTAGACTGTATATTTTGTTACCCTTTTCAGCTTTTAGGCTGGAATAATGTATTTTACTGTAATAATCATAATAAAAAAAAAAAAAAAAAAAGAAACAATATGATACTCTTTTTATTATTAATAATAATACACCTCCATTAATGAATGGGTCTGTCAGGTATTTGATCTGTTATACCCGTATACAGAACGAAAACGAGTTGTCTTTATTCAAATATGAGGATTAATGAATTTCTATTACGTATTATCTAGGGTTGTACTACAAAGTTACGTAATTTTACGTACGTAAGTCGTACGTACGTACTTCAGAATTTTAATCGGCTCGTCAGTAAGGTTGTTAATGGATTGGGTTGGGTTGAACTATTCCTCAACCCTCTCCAACTTGGGTTGGGCGCCGCTCCAGATTTGCTTAAAGTTGCACCAGTTCACTCCAGCATATCTGTAATTCTCTCCAACTCACTCCAAAGTACGTTACTCCATTAACCGTTGTCAGTTAATAGCATGTGAACTGTAACGTGTCATCTATCACATGACTTGAATTATTATTATTATTATTATATCCCCGAAATTCGAAAACAAAAATTCAAAACAGTGTAAACAGTACGTAAACAGTACGTACGCTACGATACTGCGATAGTGATAGATTTTAAACTCTACTCATAAAAATGCCAAAGAAGTTTAAGGGAGAGAGTACAAAAGGTATGTTTCCGTAAGTAAATATAAACAAAATAAATACTCTTTTCAAAACTGACTAATATGCCTATAAAATATTTTAGTCACTGCGTCTAAAGAACGTAAAGCCGCTCACCAAGCAGAAGTGAATAAAGTAAAGCAAGCTGAAAAAGACCGCAAAGAGGCAGAAGAATGGTCTACGGGTGCAAAGGATTCTTCTAAAAAAGAGTCACAAAAGCTCAAGAGAGTACGATCTTAGTTTTCTAAATTGAACCTTTAGAACTAAACAAATTGAAGAAATGAGTAGAGCTTATATACTTAGACAATAAACACATAATTAAAACCTTGATTTTAATTATATAGGAAGCACAGCTAGCCAAGAAAAACGAAGCGGCGCGATTGTTGGAACAAGAAGAAAGCCAGCTTTCGAAACATAAGCCATTAATGAAGGTGTCCGGCGAAGAGGTTTATTAATTATTTGCTAATTTATACATTGATTTATTTATTTATTTTTGTCTTTGTTAATTAACTGAGATTCTATAATTTAGAAAAAAGCTATAAAACGAACACAAAATCAAGAGAAAGCGAGTGCAGAACGAAGAGAAATTCCAGAGTTTTCTGCTTCCAATATCGATGATGCTCTAGACTTGATGACAGTTGTCACAAATTCTTCAACAGCTGTAGGAGGCGGTCCAGGACAATCTGGTGGGGCTGTAAATGTTGAAAAACATCCAGAAAAACGGTTTAAGGTTTATATTCTTTTATTTGCCTTGTTTAACATGGTTATTTAGTCGTTTTCTTAAAGTATATTGTTATTTGCTAGGCTGCTTTGGCCGCCTACGAAGAACGAGAAATGCCAAAAGTTAAAGAAGAACATCCAGGTTTACGTTACACCCAATATCGAGAGATAATTTATAAAAATTTCCAGGTTGGTTATATTATTTTCATGTCAATTTTTTTGTTTTCGAAAATATTGATCAATTATATATATTTTTTTTTTAAAAAAATTTTGATCAAAAGAAATCACCGGAGAATCCCTTCAATCAGGCAAATATTTTACGATATAATTCTTCTAGACAAGAACAAGATACCTTGATAGAAGCAACGAGAAAGGATTTAGAGGATCGGTTACGAGTTTAACTGAATTTGATCAGGAAAATTTTATATCTCATATGACAGCACATGAATACTTGCTGTATGTCCAAGAATTATTGTATAAAGTTTTGTAATTTAGTCATATAAAAAGATTTAGAAGGATACTTTATACAGAAAATGGAACAACAATTAATGTAAACTACTGCATAAGAATTCCATATCTTGAATTTTTTTCAGAATAAAAATTAGTAGTTTCAATGTAAGAACATAATGTAGTTATAATTTGAGGTAATATTTATTTATCGATTCATAGTATATAAGTAAACACAGCCACATTCCCATATAATCTCATATTTACATATTACCACCTAATATTAAACTTATAAAAATTGATCTCTTAAGAACTTTCAAAATCATTATAATATTATTGAGAGTGCAAGTGCATATGAATATACTATATAATTAGAAACGCAAACTTGTCTAATTTCAGTTATTAGTTTAAGTGAAAATCTGGAATCTCTATTTTTCTTCAACATTATCAATTTCAAGTTTCAATTTCTATTAATTTCAAGCAGGTTAAACTTTCATCGGGAAAATTTTTTAGCGCAGATCTACGCAAATCTTCAAACCGGGTGGCCAATTCTGCGCAGATTTTGTTTTTGTAAAACTTTTGTAGATTTACACTAAAAATTTTTCCTGATGCTGTGTTTTCGCAGAATATTGAGAACCGAATAAAAAATTTTCCCGATGTTCTCATTTCAAACTGGTCTATGTATAATTACATAAAGAACTTATAGATATTGAGTTAAGAATAGTTTAATTAGCATTAGCAATTTCAATCCTTTTATTGTTATATTTATTTTCAATTTTTTATAAAAAGCAAAATTATAATCAGTAACATAAAAATCATAAATATGATACAAATATTTTTAAACTAAACAATTTTATAGTTATTCCCTGTTAGTCTTCTAGTGCTGAAGGAAAATTTGATTAATTTGTTTGCACTAAATTAGCGCGAATAAACGAACTTGAATTTCTACAGGTAAATGCTTTTTGTACTCAAATTTATACACGTAAAAATGTTGTAATGAGCTGTGAATTTTTTTTTTTTTGTGACGCGTTAAATTTTTAATAAATATTATATAGTTTAATTAGTGAAGATGGATCAAGTTTTTGATTATTATAAATTTGTATTGTATTATCTTAAGAAAGTTTTTTTTTAATTATATAATCGTTAACATCTAATACAGTTCTGTTTTATGTAAAATGAATCAAATTTTTGTTAGAGGTAATTTATATTTCTACTTTTTGTTTTAGAATGTAGCTTGAAATTTGTTAAGATTGTTTTTTCTATTTGTACGTATAAGCGCGAAATAACGCGTCTTTTTTCAAAATAACGGCGTACCTAAACGGTATAATCTCAAGTAATTATTTATTTTATAGATGGCCTTATGTAGAGGTCTTACTCGGTCAAAATAATGGAGATTCGAATATCCGATTAAATTTAAACTTTATCAATTTTTTTCTATGTGTTGAAAGATTAAAGCATGTAGAATATCCAAGCCTACTTTAATTCAAAAAAAAATTATTCTGGCATTTATGATATTCAAACCATAACTTCTAAATAAAACTTTAATTTTCTAATTTTTATATTGAGTATTCATTGAATATAATCGGTGAATAATAAATATATTCGAATATTTGATTTGGTGAAATAATTATGATAAAATTCCAAGATATAGCTTGTAATTTTATTATTTTAATTGTTTGCTTTCGGATTTTTTACTGCCTAGATAATTATTTTATGTATTCGAACATTCGAATATTTATTGAATATTCGAATAATTATTCAATGGATCAGGCCTCTAGCCTTATGCTTATAAGTTTTATCTATTTTTTAGATTATAAACCAAGAGTTTTTACACGAGATTTTTTGAGCTGTAGAGCGACAGATTTGCCATTTTACCGCTTTCAATATACTTTCATTATTTGTATATTTTTACTAGTTTAAAAAGTGATATATTTAAAAAAAAATTAAATATTGCAATTTAAAATGATATGCTATTAAAATGATTTTACAATATTTTAATAAGAAAAGATTTAATCTTCAATTTTTGAAACCCATAAATCAATTCCAGGAATAGGTTTAGGAAAACCTATAGATTTCACTTTAAATGTAAATCCTTCAACTATTTTAAACTCAAAATTTCTAATAAGTATAGATAAAAAAGATTTAAATTCCAATTGAGCAATTTTCAATCCTATACAATTTTTTGGACCTGTACTAAAAGGTAAATATGTACTAGTTGATATTTTTGATTTCATTTCTGGATCAAGCCACCGAGATGGTTTAAAATCTTCAACATCTTCTCCCCAAATTAAGGGATCGTGGTGGATCGCATATATAGGAATCAATAACGGAGTTCCCTAAAAGATTATTTTAAAGTTATACACTATTTTATTAACAAATAATTTGAATTATAAGTTACTAATTAAGAAAGGTACCTTTGGAATAAAGTATCCATTCATTATTTCATCTTTTATAGTACAACGACGGAGTCCTGGCACTTTAATTCATAAATATATATAAAATTAGAATTAAATAGTTAGGGTATTTTAAATAAAAAAAAAAAAGAAGATATTTAAACTATACCAGGTGGCATAATCCTTAAAGATTCCTTTAAAACACAATCTAAATATTTCAAATGTTCAACTTCATCAAAAGTTGGTTGATGATTACGATCAGTAAATACATCTGACAATTCTTTACGAAGATGATTTTGAACATCAGGATTTTTTGCGAGATGGTAAAGTGCCCATGTTAATGCTGTGCTGGTGGTCTCATGTCCACCTACTAACAATGTCATAACCTAAAATTTATTAGATTTTTATATAAACTTAAAAAAATTATAAATTTTAAATAAATTTTAAACATGCAGATTACTTACTTGACCCTTCAATTCTTCATGTGTTAATTGTTCATCAATAGGCAAGCTTTCATTTGCTTTTACCAACAATGACAATAAATCTTTTCCTTGAATAGGATTATTTTTTTGTTCAGTAATTAATCTCTCGGAAACATTATTTACAATCTTAATAGGTTCATTTAATTGCTTATAATAAGCGATTGGCAATTTTCTGATTATCGGAAAGATATCGACTAAAGCTACATAAACAGGTGAAGGATTACGATTAAAAATTGTATGATATGCTTGTGCTAATTCAGAATTTGATGTAGTAGAATTGAATTCATAATTAAATCCTATTTTACATTAAAAAAAAAAAAAATTAATAATACAATTTATGATTAAAAGGTCATTGATAAAAATTTATCATATAAAAAATACATATTAAATACTTACCAACAAGGCCAATAACATCTAAAGTTATCTTTGGAATTAGTGCCGTAATTGTAATTATTTCTTCTTTCTTATCACCAATTTGTTTCATCCAAATATCTTTCAATTTATGGCCAGCTTGAACAAATGTTGGAAACATTTCCTTAGAAATTAAAAATAGGTATGATTAGGTATAAGATATATGATGAATATTGATGTTCTAAAAAAGATTACCTTGATATTGGTAGAAGAAAATGAAGGTGTCATCATTTTTCTTTGTCGTTTATGAGAATCACCTTCAGCAAGTAAAATCCCATTTCCAAAAAGTTTTTTGATCATTGCTCTGTTGAGGAACTTTGAAAAATCGTATGAACGATTAACTAGTACGGTTTGAACAAGTTTTGGATCAGAAATCATGATATGGGGTCGGTTAAACATGGAATTATATCGAATGATCCCTCCATATTGTTTTTTTAATTGAATAAAAGCTTTAGTTGACTAAAAAACATAAAGATTTAGAAATAAGCAAAAAAGAGATTGTACACTGTTTTTAGTTTTTTTTAAGATTTTACCTCATTTTTAAAAAATGATGCATAATTCCCAATAAAGAGATTTTCAAAAGGTGGGCCAGGAACTTTACGTAATGGCGACAAATAAAAAGGATAAATGTAACATTTGTACAAAACGTAACTAACAAATGTTACAATCGCGGCTATGTAGTAATACATTTTAGAGTATTTAGAGTATTTAAATTAATCTGAAAGTCTATTGCGTGGGAATCAACTTTTCTCCACATTTTTATATTGGAATTTCGGTAATAATCCAATCGATCGCATAAATTATCATAGACAGACATTCGTCTGATTGGCTGATGTAAATCAATTGCCGGGTAACTTATTTATACAGTTTAAAAGTACTTTTTGAAAACGTAACGTTTCACTACAGCACTAATAAAAAATCACTGCAAAAGCCATTTTTCGCTTCGTAAGAACGTTTATATTCACCATGCAAAAATAATCAAAAATAATCAGTAACTACAAGAACTTCACTTAGAAG